TCAAGAGCCAACTTAACGTGGTTTTTATTGGTTCAACATGAGATAGTTCATGTTTTCAAAGGAATAATAATAACTGAAATAGAATGAAACACTTGAGTATATTAAAAAAAATCCATGAATTCTTAATAATACTGAGGGACCTCACTAGTCACCTGTGGAGGATGGTAGAGACATAACTCGTTATTCTAAAAATTGGTAAAAAAAAAAAAAAGAAAAGAAAAAAAGAATTAAACCATATTCCTGCCTTTCATGTAGAAATCACACCTCAGGGAACCAAATATAGTAATACCTTGGTTTGCGAGCATAATTTGTTCTGGAAACAAACTACTCGTATTGCAAGACATTGCTTGTTTAACCATGTTAAAATGTATTAGAAATGTTTGCTCGTCTTGCGGAACACTTGCAGACCAAGTTACTCACAATCCAAGGTTTTACTGTAGTTGTTAAAGGAAAAGTCTTTCTTTACAGAACTCTAAATAATAAATAATGAAGAAATGATAAGATAAGAAAAATACCATTTTGGAAACTCTAATGAAATAATGAATCTAGGCAATGTTCTTCAGTGACTGTTAACACCATTAAGAGAGCACCATCACTTGTAAGACATTCCTGCTAAAAACAGACCCTGAAGCTCATTAACTTCCAACTGTTTGAGTGAATATAGAATGTAAGAAATGCTACAGAAAAAACCAACCTGATTTCTTCAATAAGTAAATTGCAAGAGAAAAAAAAGAGGGAAAGGCAATAACTATATTAAAAGAGAATTTGGAGACATTTCTGTCAAATGCAATGCTTAGACCTTGTTTAGACCCCAATTTGAAGGAAAAAAAACAAAACTAAACTAAACTTTTAAATAAATTAGACAATAGTCACATATGAATAGTAGCAGGATATTTGATTAATAGGAAGCTTAGCTAATATTCTTTGATATGATGATGGGTTTGTGGTTACATTTATAGAAAGATTCCTTATCCTTTAGAGACACATACTGCAGGATTTTGGGGATATGAAATGATAAGATGTTTGGAACAGGGACACTTCATGATTTTTGCTGGCCCTAGGCACTTTTGCCTTCTGGGCCCCCTCCCACCATAATAGATTTTGAAATCGTAAAAATGTCATTGGTTTCTGATGTGAGAAAAAATTAAAATATTTTATTCAATTTTAAAAGTTCCCCTTTTTTCTTCTGATTTTAAAAGAAATTAAAATATTTCCATAGGCTCTTAAAAGTATCATGGGCCTTGGCCCTATTCTTGCTGTGCCTAAGGGATGAGTCCACCCTGATCTGGGATTTGCTTTAAAATGATCCAGTAGTGGGGAGAGAGAGAGAGGGAAAATGGGTATTGGGGGGTGTGGATGAAATAAAATTGGCCATGAGTTAATAACTATTGAAGCTGCGTGGTGGGTATGGGGGATTATCATATCATCTTTTTACTTTTATGTATGTTTGAAAATTTCCGTCAAAAATAAATTAGAACATCAATTTCTGAAAAAGACTTATTTGAGTGTTATTGTTATTTTCCCACAAAGGAGGAATATAAAATAAATAAATAGAACCCAAAGAAAAAACAGATTGTTTGAACTTGGTAGTTGTGTAGACCTTGAATAAATGAGAACTAAAGCTACCAAGCCTCATTTGGGACAAAGACTTAATTGTTAAAATTTTGCGAAGACTAAAAATCTAACCTGACAGAGGATTTAAAAATTTTTTAATTTAAAAATTCATTTTTCAATTATTTTTGGCAATGGGGAGAATGACACCCTTATGGACAGAGATGCCGCCTGCCAATACGGTGCCATTTTATTTCAGAGAAAGTTGGCTAGGGACAGCATTATGAGAATTTCACAGGGGCCCTTGTGACACAATAATGAACACAAATGAAGGAAGTCTATTCTGCTTTTCAGAAAAGATGCATTTGGTTATTGTGAGCAGGTGAGTGACGATATTGGGTTTGTGGCCTAGTAAACTCCAGAATACCTGTGTGGATGACCCGCCTTCCAGTAAAACCCTGCTGACTTCTCAGTATCTCCCTCACTCCTTTTTCCACTCACTCTAGAAACAACTACTGAGTATCTGCTCTGTGCCAAGCAAGCACTCTGCTATACACCTGGATACACAGTGAACGAAACGTGGTTCTCACCCCGAAGGAGCAAACCAGGAAGAACACGTCATCTGTTGGGGAAACAAATGTGAACAGCTATTTTTAAAACAAGCTGAGAATAATTTTAATGGGGGTGGGTGTAAAGGGCTAGAGGACACCTCACAGATGCGAAAGAGATCAGGGGACGGTTTCCTGGAGGTACAGGGAGATTTAAGAGACCCGAAGGAAAGCATCATGTTCCAAGAAAAACAGAAGAATGAGGAAGGTGTCCCGGGCAGAGAGAAAGACACACTCGAAGCCCTGAAGGCTGGGGAGAGTGCAGGATAGGTACGAGTGCTGGGTAGAGAAAGGTGTTAGAGGGGAGACTAGAGGGTGGAAAGTGGGGTGAGGGCGCTAAGCCATGGAATGGCCATTAATGAAGGCGCTGTACCGGGTTCTCAAAGCGTCGGGTAGAACCAGCTGCATCAGCACCCCCTGGGAATTTGTTAGAATACTGATCCTCAAACCCACCCCAGACCTACTGAATCAGAAACTCTGGGGGCGAGGCCAGCAATCTGTTTTAACAAGCATTCTAGGTGATTCCGATGCATTGTTCTAAATGATTTTATCTTCCAGGGAACATTTAGTAATATCTGATATACTTTTGGCTGTAAGATTGACAGGGGTAGAGTACTAATAGCTTTTAGTAGCCTGGGATGCTGCTAAACATCCTACAGTGCACAGGACAGCGTCCCCCCCTCCCCCCCAACAAAATCTAAATGTCAACAGTGCATCTGTTGAGAAACCCCCAATCCTAGCTGCTTCCTCTCTCCCCTCCACTTCCCTTCTCTCTGTCACACACTGTCCTCTCCATTTTCTTCCTTCCTGCCCTCCCTCCTTCATTCCTTTCTTCTTTCTTTCTCATCTATCTATTTATTATGTATCTATCATCTATTCATTTTCTTTACTCCTACATGTTCCTCTACAAACAGCAGAGTACTTAAAAAGGCCACAAAAGGCTCCTTTTCTGCATTTTTAATTTACAGATATAATCCTCTCTTTTTATCCAACTGATAACTCCCCATGACTAAGTTGATCTATGGTGAAAGGAGGCATTATTTGATTTCTGCCCCCAAAGTCTATTTATCTGCCTGTGAGTGGGATGGTGCTGCTCAGAGCATAGGTGATAATCACCACCTCATGACTGAAGCTGTAGCTCTTGGCCATTCTGCATATAAGCTTACACATAAAGGCCCAAACAGCCAGGAGTCCTGATCTTGGCATGAAAGACAGTTCCCATTGCCATGGAGGTTGAGGCTTGAAATCTTTGCTCTTGCAGGAGATAGTAGGGTCAACTCTGAGTTGCTCCTCCAGACCATGAAGTAAGCACGTCCACTGAGAGTATAACCGCAAAGCCCACACAGAATGGTTACAAGCAAAGATACGTGAAGTCATGTTAAAGAGGATGGGACTAACCAATCAGATAGGATTCTAATCTGATTGATAGCATTGACAAATCAAAATAATCATATCCATTAGAAGATTTATGGGGCAAAGAAGTGAGGAAAATTGTAAAGTTAAAATGCAGACATTGGCAGAGCCCTTCTAATGCTTCCCAGATTAGGTGCCCTGAAAGACCAACATGAATGTTTAGCTTGCCTGATGGACCTATATTCCAATTGTATAGTCTGAAGCCATTAAGCATCTTCATCATCCGGCATCCATTGCTCTGCTTTCAGGCTATCACAGCAACCTTCCGACAAATGTCTGGCTCTATGGTTTGCCCACAGGGAGAAAATGCCCCGGTGAAGCTTATGTGAATGTTAAGTCTGCTTGATGGTCATGTTCCTCACTGAAAATGAATCCATTGGCCTTTCAGTTTATAGGCTCCAGTCTCCCTTGAATTTACTTAGTCATCCCGAATTGGTATAATCAACTCTGGGACACTGACAACACGGAGATTCTGAACTTCCAAGGTAGAGAGAGGACCAGGCCATGGACCACAGGGAACGCCTCCTGGACTTGCTTCGGGCATTCAGCCTGTTGTCTTCCTTTGATCATCCTGACTCTCACAATGACTCTTCTCTTCCAACTTCCACATTCCAGTGATATTCAAAAAGTATCTGTGGTACACTGAAAAAATTGGCCACAATACTTGGCAGCTCCGCCCTCTGATAAGTGAAGTCTATTTCCTATTTCCTCACCCTCGAATCTAGAATGGCCATGTGACTTGTTTTGGCCAACAGAATGTGGAGAAAGTGGTCCTGTATGAGTTCTGAGACTAGGCCTCAGAAGACACCCCAGCTTCTGTTCCTGCTTTTTTGGAACCCTAAGGTTGCTATGTGTATAAGGCCGAGCTAGCCTGCTGGATGATGGCAGACAAATGGCCCAACCACCCACCCGAATCATTCCAGATGACAGCCAGCTAAACCCCAGAAGCACAGCCACCCTGCTCATGTGCAGCGGACCGCAAATGTCTGAGGGAGTCCAGGCAAGACCAAAAGAAGAACCTCCCAGATGAGTTCAACTTGCCAAAGCACAGAATCTTAAGCTGAATAAATGGTTATTGTTGTATGCGACTAAATTTTAGAGCAGTCTGTTATGCAACAGTGATAATTGATACAGCAATATTTGTGTTTTTAATAACTCCCAATATACCCTGAAGTTATTGCTACAGTTTGTCTCTGAGAAGCCATAAAGATTTGTCTCTTGACATAACACAATTGGGATTTATCTTGGGCTATCTCATGAGCTTCAATGGTTCTTGGGGAAGAAATAGGCCCAGCCTTTTCCAACAAGATGCTAAGGGATTTGGTTAAATGGTAAAGAAAATTTTGGGTTTGCCAACATTCACTTGGGGAAAAAGAGGAGGGTTAATACATAAAAATTGTATTTCTCAGACATAGATAGATTTCTGACCTTCAGCCGGCGGTCTGGATCTCCACTGCATAGAGAATTTACGGATACTTTAAATGATTTCCAGGCTGGGCTTAAGTTATTCATCACCACCTGAGAAAAGAAACAGGAGTGGTGGGTGGGGGAGGAAATACTTGACATTTTCACATTTCAACATAAATCTGCGTGAGAAGCTTTGTGGCGCTTATGAAAAGGACAATCTCTGGAATAGGTCCCTTAATGAAAACTTGGAGTAGTACATCTTTTAAGGATGCCCACCTAGTGGATCATTATGGGCAGAACTCCTAGGGTCACTGGCCTGGCTGTTGTTTCATGAATAATGACAGCAATATTGTGCAACGTGTGGATACTGGGAATGATCCCTTCTATACCAACAGGGGTTGGGATTAATGCAGCGGGGCTGCCTCTGGCCTCTGATAAGGGATCTTCAGTTCTGTAGGACTGTTAACCTTACGGCATAAATTCTCTTGCATTAAGGTCAGTATAGGCCGAAACGATTGGTGGGTGTGGCAGGACAATTCTGCTGCTAAAGACTTGAGTGGTCTGTGGTAACCTGTGACCTTGATTTAGATCAGATTGTAAATCAGAAGAGAAGTTGCTAGAAGAAAATTCCCAGCAGGATACTTACAATACTTAACCTAAGACACACAGGGCAGATCTTTAGAGTCACAAACTCAGTCTATAATATAGCAAACCATCCCCCCACCCCTTTTTTTTAGCTTTTTTAAATTTTTATTTTTTTAGTAAGTAATTTATTACCTAATGGAAATTTATAAATTTTGATGTATTTTTGCAACCTGATAAAGTAATTTATATAATTTTTGTATATTTGGCATAGAATTCTAGCAAAACCCATTTAAAAGCAGCTTACTAATCAGGAACTTGGCTAAATCCTGCCCACGAGTCCATATGAGTCAAGCCTTATCCTTCTGTCACTATGATTCAAATAATTCAATTTGGATTGGAATGTATGAGTATCTGCTCTGTGCCTAGGATTGTACCATTAACTCTAGGGCAGGGGTTTCCCAAGTGTGATTCCTGAATCAGCAGGAGCTGTATCACCTGAGCACTTGTTAAAAATGCAAATTTCTAGGTTCCTCTCAGACCTACTGACAGCAAGTCTGGTGGGTGAGCTCCCCTAGGTGATTCTGATGCATGAAATTTGAGAACTACGGCTCTAGGGGACAAATACATGAATTTAAATGGAATTCTGTCACATTAATTTTTCTTCCTGTGAAGTTTTTAGTTAGCAAAAATCTTAGCATTGTAAAAATAATTAATTCTCTATTTAAATAACATAATTATTTCAAAAGTGATTCTCTCTTCTACTGGATTCTTTAATATAAATATGAATTAGTGATTACATCATGAGCTCATTATTAAATTTCTCTTAATGCATCAAGGTAGAAAAACAATGTTCCTGTGGGGCTTTGTCTTGTGCTCTGATATTCTGGGGATAATCAAAGAAGTAGTGAGAAGAAAATTTAGATCAAATTGTTAGGGTTCATTTAGATTTCCAACGTTTGTATAAAAATATTATGACGTAAAGATGTTTCATTGCAACAGTTGTGAAAAACTCAATAGCAGACCAGAATTTCAACCAGAAATTACCCCTGAAATAAAAATGTGTGTGTGTATATGTGTGTGTGTATGCGCATGCATACGTGCTCACTCATGTGTGAATTACACATGTTTAAGTGCATGCGTTTCTTCCAAGAGAACAGTATTGCTTAGTATTTATTTTGTATCTATTGAGTTAGAAAGAGGAAAAATCAATGCTTTAGTGCTTGACTCACTGGAAAACTTTATAATCACATTTCTTGTGAGACTCCAGGAGCCCCTCAGCAATGGAGTATGGGGGGGAGGGGGGAAACTTCTAGAGATTCTTTAGAATAGGAGAATTTACCAATGCCAACAAGAAGAGAAATGCTGTCAAGAGCAAAGGAGAGAAGGCTCTTATGAGAGAAGTCCAACAAAACGCCATCCATCTCCTTTCTCCTTGCACATTAAAGCCTCCATTCACGGAGTGCAACAAAAGTATGAATGAATAGAACTTCCGATTCTCCCCAAAGTTTATTCTCCTGACAAAGTTTGTTTCACCAAAGGAATTGTTATGTATCAAAAAGGTTCTATTCAGTGGTAGCAAAACTCTCACTGTCGCACCTCACATTATAGCCCAGGAATTAAGTTTCAGAGAATCCATGTAGTGGACATACTATCTATACTCAACCCCATTCATTTAGTCATTCTTTCATTAAATGTCAGCTATTCACTAGCTGATATCCAAGACTAGCCCATTCAAGACTATTTAGTTCTTGTCCACTTTAAGTATGACGTGAAATATTCCCCTAATGCTACCTGCAACTCTGTAACATCAGGAAAATGGAACTGGATTTCTAGTGTGGGGTAGTGGGAACATGGCACCCTTACTATCATCCCACAAAAGTCATGAGGGTTCCTTCTTCCTTTACCCTATAACTAGTAAGCACAATAAAAGTCTTCTCTCAGCTCCACGTCATTCATCAAAACCACCCCACTTCCTTCTTGTCAATGTACTTCTCATCCCCACAGAATCTCTCTTGGACTGTCTTATAAATAAAATAAAATGAAAAGTGGAGATTGGGGCTGATTGTTGAGTACATGTAGAGCAGTGGGTAGTGGGGGTTGGGATAGTGAGGAATAAGGTTTAGAGTCACATGGTGAAAAAGAAGGAAAGGTGATAGGGATATGCAGTTAGACCAAGTGGCTACTGAGACTGGGCAGCTGTTCATACGACAGGCTTGACATCAGTCCAGTGTATGAACTTTCCCTGGGGAGGCAGACTGGCCTCCCAAATTACAGTGAAGTTCAGGGTCAAACAAACTCAGCTCAAACTTCAGTTCCATCCCTGGCTAACTGTCAAAACTGGGAATGCGACTTGACTTCCCAAAAGTTCAGTTTATTCAACTGTAAAATGGGGGTAGTAATAACCATGCCAAGGGGCTGTTGTGAGAAGTAGATAAAATAATGTATAGAAAATCACTTAGTGCAATGCTTGGCACCTAGTCACTCTCATTAAATGGTAGCGCACTCATATTTTTATTATTAATAAGCTGCTGGCTCTCTGTATTGAAAGTGAATAATGGAAAATTTGGGTGAGAGAGGGTCTTCTCTTCTAACATCTAAATTGAGAATAAAGAGTCCTCTTGAGAATAGTGAAGACTCCACGTCTGACAGCATAGCTACAGGCATTAAGAAATGTGAGGGGTTTCTCAAAACAGGTCAGTTCATCATCTTAGGAGATGAGATGGCATCACTGACGATGACTTTTCTCACCTCAGTTCGGTGCACGAGCTGCTGAGTTGCATCATCATTCATACGAAAGATTTCCAGAAACGGGTCAGATTTACTGAAGAAATCCTAAAATAAACGGATAAAAAAAAA